CGCGCTAGCCCTACGCTACGTGGTCGCGTTAGGCAGCGCCGCAGGTCACCTCCCCTCGTTGCGGGGGAGAGGGCCGCCGCCGGGAAGTGGAAATGTGCGGTGTTTACCGGCGCCCCCGCGGCCAGCCTTCGGCCGGGTGTCTCAGAGACAAAAAGTACTTGAGGAGACTTCTCGCCTTCCTGCTGCCGCGGAGTGCTGGGAAGTGCCCTAGAGGTGAATTGAGTGTTTAGAAGTGGCTTTTTTCTTTCAGGTTAGACTGCCCTTTTCTCTCAGCACGGCTGCTTTTATGAGAAGCTGTTTATATAAAAATGGACACGCCTATTTATTTTTTTTTTTACTAGCAAGAAGTACAGGGAGATAGGAAATACAGCTTTGCCTTGGCTGATTCTCTTACCTGTTTCTTTTGAGAGCAAGGCTGAAAGTTAAGGGAAAGCTGTAGACTCTCCATCTGCTGTTTGTGTGTTTTGGGTGTTTTTAAATTCTTTTTAGTTCTAACCCCTCCCTTTTTTTTTTTCTGTGGAGGCACAGGCTACTGTGTAGTAAATTGGAGCCTACAAGAGGGGAACATGCTTTCAGATGTGGTTTCACGTTACAGCTAAGATAATGAAAAACTCAGTTGTAGAAAGAGGCAGTCTTATTTCTCCCTCTCCTCCCTCCTTCACCAGGTTCCCCATCCCATGTATCTGACCTAGCAGTCCTAAAGTTGCATGTTAAAGCAATTCAGCTACTTGAGCGTTTTTTGTTTTAGTTTTTTTTCCTAGGGACAATTTTCTGCTAGAGCAGCCAGTTGAACTGACTGCTTCAGTTTGTCTGCTGTCTTCAGTATGTCTGCTTCATCACTCAACCAGGTCCACGTGGAGAGGCAAGGGTACATACCCAGATAGGAAGAAGAGAGGGTAGGACTATCCCTTCCAGTGGCTGCTTGCTGTTAGATCATATTAGTTTTTTACTGACCCCTTAGGTAGACTGGTTGGCACTTGAGACGTCAATTGAATTTGTCTACCTGTGCTTTGCCAATAGATATTGGGACTGGTCTAAGACTGTTACTGCTGCTTCTTTTCCGTTCCTTTCAAAATTAAAAAAGAAACTAAACACCCAAACCAAAACAACACACCCAAAACAGCTCAGAAGCAATCTTTTGTTCCCAACAGTTAGATGTATATCTGTAATTCACTTCCAGAATTGCAAAAATTCATATTCCTGTGGGAAAACATGACTGTTGCATTGATTTCATATGCAGGGTTGCTGAAATTAGGCTTTTAT